TTCCAAAATAAAGAATTACACCTCAAAGGCTCAAAAGTTTGATATACCTTTGACTTCAAAAATTTCTCTAAGAAAAAAATCAAACACGAGAGAATAAACATGTACCTAGATACAAAATCATGAATCAGCTTCAGCATCAGTTGAAGCTGAATCTTAGTCCATGGTAAAAAAGACTTGACAATACTCACCAGTTAATTTCCAGTGATTTAGGATGTAATGTATGTACTTTACAACTGCGAATAAAGATTAACAACATTTGCCTGCTCGGTGATAAATCTATCAGCCAGATGTTAAAATGCATTATTATACGAACAGCTACGTGGCACTGAATGGTGCTGTTTGTGGGTGGTATAACCGAATCTTTAACATCTTCCTGCTCAAGTGCTGAATGCAATCATAAAAATCTCACTTCGATGTGGTTGGTATGTTATAGCAAGCTAGCTTTTATGCGTGTACCACGAATCTCCTGAATTCTCTGTGCTTTTTCCGGCATTTTACCTTGAATGCGGACTCCTATTACTTACCTAGTGACTTTTTCATCGTAATTTCGATCAGTCGGCTGATTGTCGAATAGTGAAAATGAGTGATGAAACTTCGTTTTGCTCATTCAATAAACAATCAGGACCAGCCAAATAAGGCTTTAGAGATCAGTCAAGCTCCAATTTTTTGAGTCGGTGAGAGTGAGTTTTATACAACTTCCAGCCTTTAAGAAACTATTAATTATACGTTTTCATATTAGTTTCATAGCGTGACAGGAATTGCATGCCAAATCTATCCTACTTTCACAGAAAGAAGCATGGGTATTTTGCTCACATATACGAAAAGTTTAAAATCTCATACTTTGCAGTTCATAACATTAATGAAGTCTTTCTTAGGTCCAGTTGACTGGTTGTCGAACCAACATGATAACCAGTTGATCCACTAAAACGAAGCTTTGTCACTTATCTCTGATGATCAGCGCATTTGCAGTGGCGTGGCGTACTTTGCGAAACCTATATAGATTATTATACCATTTAAACCTATGGAAAAGGATCGATAAACAGGATGTTCGCAGCGAACACCTTAATAATCGATTCTTTACCATGGGTTTAAATGGCATAACAATCGATACATCGCAATTCACGTCACGCCACTGGCGCATTGAAAAAGTCAAAGCACTTGATACATTTAGTGGGTTCAGGCCCCTGAACAAAAGAGCATAATGTAGAGTATTGCAATAGAACTACGAGAGCTGTTGCCACATCATGATATATGAATGAACTGTACCAGACACCTGACAACTTTCAATACATCTTTTTTAAAAAAAACAAGCCGGTGTCTGCAATCGCAGTGCGATAGCAATATTCGTCATGGGAACTTGAGAAATGTTTGATAAATCACTTAGCATTGGGTGTACCATTTTTATGATGGATATACCTATTGGGATCTGCTTTTGATTTAGCAGAAGTCAAAACATTTACCTATGGCTGATAAAATTGCAGAAGTTGTTCCTTTTCTGCGGCATGACGTTGATTTTTTTTTGGTGGAATCATGAAACGTCATCGAACTCAGGAGAGAGACGCGTGCCGGGCGCGCGCGAAATGCTGGTGTTTTTGTTGCTTTTTCGTTAACTTTGTCATCATCAAACTAGTGTGGACTCCCGGACACGAAAATATAAAAGGGCTGACAAACAAACAAAAATTTTAACAAATGCTATCGACCTTTCCAATGAGAAAATTCACTGCCTACTCCAATTACTTAAAGCAAGTAAATTTTTTTGGCGTAAAAATTGTAATTTTTTGCTAAATTTTGGAGAAAATATTGCTTTAAGAACGTTGAATGTAAAATAATTTGATTGAATAAAGAAAATAACATCATTAATTTGGGTGAACAGAGAAAATTACATCATTATTTGGGTTAACATCTCCCTGATTGTATGAAGGATGAATATTTTAGTATGAGTATTTCTGTTTCAAAAAACTTGACATTTTTCTTCAGAGATACCTACAATGATTCTAGTCCAAGTCAATTTGTTTTATTGAAAAAACAAAAACAAAAACAAAAAACAACTGAAATGTTAGACATACTATTTTCATGTGTTTCTATTTGTATCAATAGGTACTTTTTAATAAACTTAGAAAACCATAACAATTCACGAACGTTGAATGCAAATTAACTTTCTTGAAAAAAGAAAATAACATCATTAATTTGGGTGAACATGTGGCTGACTAATGAAGGAGGCATATCCCAGTATTTTTGTTTAACATATTAACTCACGAGAAAACGTTCGTACATTTATCATCTAGTATTACTTATTGTTTGATGATTGGTCTAAAACATTCAATACAACCAGTAAAAATTAACTGTCCCCAACGAGATTCGAACCCCCGCTCGCACAAAAGGAACATGATATTAGCGCCTGAGTAGTGTCGTAGACAACTGAGCCATCTCAACTCACATGGTATTCGGGAGAAAAGAGAACACTTAAATGATCTCGGACGCTGAGCGGGGCTTCACAAAAGATGTCCTTGACACTTCGGCCACTGCCGTGATATGACAGGACGGAGTAAGCGCCTTTCTCTGTGAGACATTGTTTGCCTATGGTTTCATGTGTCCCAAGGTTCATCTCAGCATGAATTTGCTATCGCGGCAGTAAGCTGAGGCAATATTTCTGTATTCATGGATTAAATCAATCAATCGAGATCTGATTTTGGCTTATATATCCGTAACGGGTCCTTCAGAGCAATTTTCCACCTTGCACAATGGTTATTATTTCTTTATTTTTATTTTTAAAATTTGAAGTGGGATAATGGCGGCTTCTCAAGAGCAACGAGGAAGGCGATTGTTTGCACCAACGAACAGAAAATTGATGGCGAAATGTAACCAATCAGAACCTTCCAAAAAAAAGAATTTGCCTAAATACGTTTTTCGGTGGTTCTGCGCAGGTTTACCAGTCAGACGCGACATCTCAAGAAGAAGAAAAAACTCGCGGAAAGCGAATTTTAGAATTCTACACAACCTGACGTAGAGACATGATTGGCTAAAAAACACAACGATTTTTGATACATCCGAAAATGAACCAAAAATCGAACATTGGGCGAATCGCCCAAGGTCACAGAGACATAGGGAATTAAATAGCCGTAGCAGCAAAACGATTGTAGAGACAGGGGAACTCCGTTCCCATGCCAAAACTCCGTTCCCATGCCAAAAGTGCTTTCTAAGTCAGAAAATGAAATGAAGTTTCGTTTGTTGAAAGGAATTTATAACGAATAAGAATTATCTTTCTTTTTTTGTTGTTTTAAATAACTCCCAAGGGCGAATCTTATTTCTACGTAGCCTTCCTTACCTATATCTCTATTTTTATGGAATATTGCAGTCTCCCACAGTTCCAGCATCTTTCACTCATGCCAACTAGGGAATAGGTATAGCTCATATTCTTCCCAGGCATTGTTGACTGTAAACATTATTAGTTCCCTTTTTAATTTATTCTTAAAATCTTTTAATTTCCTAACATTTCTTCTGATCACATCTAAATACTGTATTATGTCTCGCCCTTTTAAAAAATATCCTGTCTACCTCACTGTTATCATGCTCCTTTATTTCTAATCTTCTACACGTTTTACCCATCAAAATTTCAGTAATCTTCTCCTCCATCAAGTCAATCGCTTGGGTCATTCATTCCTTGTGATATCAACCAGCTCTCAGAATATTTGTTGCTCAACCGACTCAGAAATTTTTGATATACTATGAATGCATGTTCTTCAGGGTCTTGAGTTGAAAGCCCCTAGTTTTTTGTTAACAACCGGTGTATTATTTTTTAAGATAAATTTTAAGTACCCCTAACAGCACTTTTGCCCATACACAAGAGCATAGAACAATGCTGCGGCTGAGTAAGTATGTGACTTGAAACATTAAAATTAGATATTTTTTATCTCTTTTAATCCACAAAAGGATGTTTTCTAAGGAGTTATCAATAATTTCTCAGTTGATCGAACACAACCTCTGTTTGATTTAGCGTGAACTGACCCCACTCCATTCCTCTCATATTATTTAGAAACATGAACATCCTGCTTTGATTACTGAAAATGTCTACATGTAGCCAGCCTCAGTTTTTCAACATACTTATACTTCTGAATTCTTCATCACACACAAATGCCTATAGCCCATAGTTGAGTTCTACCTTCTCTGTAATGTCCTGGTTTATTTTCTTGGTAGCATAAACACAGAGCACCTTCACCCAGCATAGTCACACAATAATTTATTTCAGATCATATGAGCCATTTTTCTACACTCTTTTCCGCAATGAAATCCCCGATTCTCAAAGAGGAATCACTTTTTCCCCTTAACTCTTTCAGAACTTTCTGAGTACCTACCTGCGTCCTTAAACTTTTCCAATTGTCAGATAACCAAACACGAACGTCTACTATGTACTTTCCGGTAGTTAAGTCGCGGAGCAACCACGTGTTCTTCCTGAATGCAATTTTTTTTATTTGTTGAGAGAAGAATGCAATTTTACGGAATCGCGGAGGGCCTGAATTCTCTTCANTAATCCCCTGTACCTAAAATGTGCTGCCATCTATGATGAGAAACAGATACTAACTTGATAATACTTGACTTTGTTTTGATTAGTAAGACTGATCTAATTACTTGTTATCACTTGTTACCTAGTTTTGAAATTTTAAAGTATGGCAACGGCCTTTGTGATATTAATTTTGTTGTTACCCTGACGATGAGGCGTCCGCCTCGAAAAGCTTCGGTACTTTATTAATAAAATGTAAGTGTTTTTTTGAAAACATTTTTTTTTGCATTATTCCTAGCACTCGGCTACCAACACAAACCCATATATATATAGTGCTACTACCTCAACACATTGCTTGACAATGTTCGCTGACTTTGATCTACGATTAATTCCCGCATTTTCATGCATGCGTGTTTGAATGAAACAATGCGAATGGAGCTTCGTTTTTACGTGCGTATGCAAAAGACACATCTGAAAGGGCACTGGACACTGTTCCGATCGCCACCTTCAACCCTCCATTCGTTCATCATTCATTCACACCTCGGGCGACCCACGCGAAACCCGTCGTCGCGAGAGAGATTTATGGGCGTTTTAGGACGCTGCCGTCTGTCCCAAAAAAATATCGAAGACGCTCATTTGTCTTTCGAGGAAATCCGTGCTTTTTATGCGCAATCTGACAACCAAATTTTTTGGAAATTTGGAAAAAATGATATTACTCTCGTCTGGGTGAAAATTTCAAAAATCGGGCTTCGAGGTGCACGTGTGCGTATAGGGCTCCATCAATGGGTAGAAAGGTCCATGCTCAGAGCTCAATGGTGTGCTCTGCAGCCCGATTGTTGAAATTAATGTCGGAACCACAAGAATCGAAAATCGATATATTACACGGCGCGGACAGGGCTGTGTCTTGTCGTATCGTGCCGACATAGCCAGTTAAAGTTTCAACAATCTGGCTGCTGTACACCTTCACATAGACATGGTGAATTTTTTAAATTTTTCGCGATAACTCGACCAATTATAAACATTTTATGGACAAAAAGCTCCAGCATAACCAATTCAGCTTGCCCTTTTATCATAACGAATTGCAAGTTCATAGGATCAATATTAGTTCCGAAAAAGGCAAAAATAAATTTGCAGATTTTCGCGATGACTCGGTTAAAAATAAAAATTCGAAAAAAGGAGATCCAGCCGTGCTCCAGCACATAAGGTTTCACATCTTTGTAAAACTTCCGTACTCTCGCTCCAATAGTAACTTCAGGACAGCGGGAAACAGATCTCGACAATTTTAGGGCTTAGGATTTTATAATGTAGTAAGATAAGAGGATTTGGAATCGTTAAATGAATTCCGATTGGTTTATGAGGTTAACTCGGGGGTGAAGAGGGCGGCGAATTTTAGGAAGATACGAAACCAAAATAATGGCTGGTAATTAAATTGCACTCAAATTAAGCTGTGAAAGAAGGAGGGGCGACGACGCGAGTCCTGATAAGTTAAAACAAGGGGTTGCTTCCAACGTATGGTCGTTCCAACGTATAGCGTTAACCGTGCGAACCTTCTCATTTTTACTAGGAAGTAGTTGTAGCGGTGCCGGACACGGGAGCTGTCAGCAATAGATTTCGGGTGCAGATTGCAAAACGACGGTGGTGGCGCGACTGCGGATTGCACAGGAGTTAGGGCGCTCCGCGAGAACATATGAACGATACCTATATGAAGCGTGTGGCCCATTTTAGAACTTTGACTTTTAGAAGTTTTCTTGTCCGGACTGCGGGCCGAACGCTGCCTTTTTTTAACGGTATATTACAGAGAAATGCAGGTAAGGGGGAATTGTGTCGATGTAAAAGAAGGGGCAGTGGACTGATTAATCGGAATAACTAGTCAAACAGTGGTTGCCCATTTTTGAGAGTGATTCTTTTCGCTCTAAATGTTTTTACTTTTTTCTTTAGGCCTTGTCTCCGCAGGCCGTTTCACGAGATTTGTCCCAGGGTTAAATTCCACTTACGAAGTTGGGAAAAATATTGAGTTGATCAATGTTTTTCCCAGTACCAAGTACGGTACTTGTACCCCTAGGACCCACTGAGAGGAGAAGAAGTGAAACGAATTGTGCGATATTTTATTCATTACTCCATTGTTAATGTTTGTTTCGTTAAAATAATGTGTATAGTTGTCAATTAAGAGCAATTAGTATTTTAATCCCGGTTAAATACTCGACTTTATCTAATTTATCTTCCCGCGCAAACTAGTCGCAGGACTGTATGAGCCCCGTCCCGTGGAGACGGTAACTGGGAAAAATCCCAGAAGTTTCAATCCTGCGATTCGAACTTGGGACAAATCCTATGAAAATGTCCCGTAGAGACAAGGCCTTACCTTTCTCCTCTTGTATTTTAATCCCCCTAAGTTGAGAAAATGACAATGCTATATCTACCAGCAATCCCCCCCCCCGATCACGTCATTGGGACACCCATCAAGGACGCCATAGACTCATCAGTTGATGACGTCATGGAGGCACCTGTCGATGACGTCGATGGAAACGAGTCTCGTTGATGACATCATGGAGTCATCCTTTGCCTTTGATGACGTCTTGATAATGGCAATTTGAGGTCACATCGAGGGTACCAGTTGATGGTGACGTTACAACACAAACCATAATTCATGTATATACATTTATTGCTAATTAGTTTTTGATGAGTCAATATTTTCTAAGTTTCTAATTTTCAATAAATTTTCTACTTCATATATAATACCTACTTTAGCATGTACAGCATCAACTTGTTTTGAATCCCCCGCCACCTCTTTTTAAAAGTCAGAGAGTTTTTAGAATCTTGTCCATCTGTATTACAGGTCGTCAATTTTTACAGAGACCTCAATAACGCCACAGACTACTCAAAAGAATTAATCCATTACTCTCACTACCAACGACTAACCAAAAGTACAGTACTGCAACAGTGGCAAAGAGACTGGACAGAGAGTATACAAACCAAAGGAGGCAGACTAGGATCAATCCAACCGGTCATCTCAACGGAAGCCTGGTTCAGCCGCATAATATTAAGCAAGAAAGCTACTAACATAATATCTAGAATGAGAATCAGGTCCATTTCACCAGCCCCTCCCCCCCCCCACTCCCACAAAAAAATATGAAAAATATGCCATCGTTTTGTAAGTGTTTTGTAACGTTATGTAAGTCTAAAAAAAAATTTTGTAAGTCACTCCAAGTGGTTCAAGTGGATAACTTCATTTTGGGGGGGGGGGCTGGAGAAATGGTATCCCCCCCACTTTGCGATCGATAAATTCTGACAACGCCAACGTTTTGTAAGTGTTTTGTAACGTTTTGTAAGTCCAAAAGAAAATTTTGTAACTCAATTTTTAGGGGGGATACGGCTACCCAAAACTTTGGGGCCAGCCCCCCCACTTTACGATCGATAGATTCTGACAACGCCAACGTTTTGTAAGTGTTTTGTAACGTTTTGTAAGTCCAAAAGAAAATTTTGTAACTCAATTTTTAGGGGGGATACGGATACCCAAAATTTTGGGGCCAGCCCCCCCACTTTGCGATCGATAAATTCCGATAACGCCAACGTTTTGTAAGTGTTTTGTAACGTTTTGTAAGTCCAAAAGAAAATTTTGTAACTCAGTTTTTAGGGGGGATACGGCTACCCAAAATTTTGGGGCCAGCCCCCCCACTTTGCGATCGATAAATTCCGATAACGCCAACGTTTTGTAAGTGTTTTGTAACGTTTTGTAAGTCCAAAGGAAAATTTTGTAACTCAATTTTTAGGGGGGATACGGCTACCCAAAATTTTGGGGCCAGTCCCCCCACTTTACGATCGATAGATTCTGACATCGCCAACGTTTTGTAAGTGTATTGTAACGTTTTGTAAGTCCAAAAGAAAATTTTGTAACTCAGTTTTTAGGGGGGATACGGCTACCCAAAATTTTGAGGCCAGCCCCCCCACTTTGCGATCGATAAATTCCGATAACGCCAACGTTTTGTAAGTGTTTTGTAACGTTTTGTAAGTCCAAA